TTTTTCGTGGACGTGTGCGAGGCGTGCCTGAAGCTCGCCGCGTCGCCGACCAAGTCCTTCGCAGCGGCGTCGAAGCCGAGGCTTGCTGCCCGGCTGTCGCGCAGTATGCGGCGCCAGATTCTCGCGCCGAAGCTTGGCGTGAAGCTACTTGGCACGCCCTTCTCGGGCGGGCGGAGGCGGCCCGTCGGGGCGCTCAAGACCCGTCTCAAGGCCTTCCAGCAACGCGCGCCACGGATGAGCGCGCTTCGCCGCCAGCTGATTGACGTGACCCGCGTGGTTGGTGCCGCGGCTAGCCCCGGCATGCTCTACGGCATCGACGTCGCCAGAGCGCCCAACACGCACCTGCACCGCGCGAGGGTGGCTGCCCCGAGCGCGGCACTGCAGCCGGGGCCCCATCGCGACGTCGACGTGGGCTTCGCTGCGCTGGACGCTGGAGGCGCTGCGTTGAACCCCGCGTGCGCGGCGGACGCGACGCCGTTACGACATCGGGGTCAGGCTTACTGGCGGGGCTGGGTGCCCTGGTCGGAGTTCGACCGCGTCTTCGACCTCGCGCGGCATCGCACGCAGAACGTGGTAGCTCAGGTCCGGTCGTTGTGGTCTGCTGTCACAGGTCCCGTGGCCAGCGTCATCGCCGCTGCCTGGCGCCTCGGTTGGCCCCGCGAGCACCCCAGGTGCTTCTACGACGACACTGGCGAGCCGGTGGACTTCGCCCCCGGGTCCCCTGCGACGGTCGCCGCTGCGCTGCGCGCAGATCCATGGGCCGACGGCGCACGCGAAGGGTTGCTTCCACGCCCCCTTCTCTCATCTTCGGGGGGGCCGACGCGCGTGCCCCAGAGCAGACCGAGATGATCACTCTGCTCGTGGGCCGCCCGATCGGCTGCTCCTCGAAGGGCGCGGGGCACCTTGCAAGGCGGCGCCGCAGTGGACGGGGCGCTGTCGCTCGCAGCCCCTATCCGCAGCAACGGGCGGGTAGCGACCGCAGGCCCAGATCGCGAAGTAGCCGATCGCCGACGGCTTTGGTGATCGACGCCGCCAGCTCTGCGGCGCCGCGCTCGGCGCTCTGCTCCGGCGCCGCGCATGCGAGGCCTCGCTGCCCCCAGATGGGCGGCCCAACCCGCCCGAGGAGTGCGACCGACTCGCCGCGTCGCTCCTGGAGGCCCGTTTGGAACATCTTTGGACTCGAGGCCCGCTCGCTCTCCGGCTGCCGCGCCCAGCGCCGCGCGTGGAGGTTGCCGCCTGGCGGCGCCCTGGCCCGCCAGACGCGATCCGCGCAGACCTCCGCCGGCGCGCGGACAGGCCCATGAAGTACGGGCCGCGGTGGGGGCTACGGCGCACTGGCCGCGCCATCGTCGTCGCGTCGGCCGGCGGGGACTTGGTTGCGCGCGGCAGCGCTGCGCCTCCGCCGCGGATTCGCGCCGCTGCAGATGCCGCCCCCCCGGCGCCGCCCATCGCCATCGCGCCCCCGCCCATCCGCGCGGATTGCCGCTCGATCCTGTCAGCGGCCGCAGCTGGCGCGGTGCGCGCCGCCAAAGCCTACCAGAATGCTGGCCCAGCTTTGGTCGCGAATTTCCACCGTCCTCGATGGCGGCGCGTCCGGGCCCGTGACCTCGGGCGCGCTCGCGTGGATGCCGGCTCGCGGCGCGACCGCCGTGATCGGCGCTGCTCCGCGATCAGATGGCGCCGCGGTCACGGCGGTGAACTGGCGCGCCGACTGGTCGGCCGATGTCGCGGCCAGGGCGGCAGCCGGCTGCCCGCTGCCGCGCGCTGCAGCACGGCGCCTTCTCATGGTCGCGGAGAAGTTGGCGGCGCGCGAGGCCGCGGCCCTCGGGGCCATCACCTGCCCGGCGAACCACCGCGAGCGGGTTGAGCTCGGGCCCGACGGCCGACCACGGCGCGCGCTCGAGCGCGACACAGCGGCCGCGCGGCGGCCGAGGGCGCGGGCCCGCGCTCGCGCCCGAGCGCCGCGTGCGCCAGCGGCTCCGACGGCGGCATCAGTGCCGGCGGCTCCGCCCCCCGCCGCCCCCTTGCCTGCGAGGCGTGGCCCGAGCCCGCCAGCGCGCGGGGCCCGACGCAGGGCGCGCGCCGCCGCGTCGCGCGCCGTCTCGGCGGCCTGGGCTGCTGCCGACGCGGCGGCCACGCAAGCGATCCGCGAGACGCGCGCGGCGGCTTTGCGGCCTTCCTCGGCGCCGCCGGCTGCCAAGCGGCCGGCTGCGCGCCCCCTGGCCACGGTGGGCCGAGCCGCCTCGCCGTGGCCCCCCACGCTGCGGCCGAATGCGGTGCCGCGAGTGTCGGCGCGCGCGCTGCCCCGCTCTGCGCCGCTGCTCAGGGCGTCTCCCCCATGAGAAAAGGACACCATTATGCGGCGGGTGGCATAAGGATTCCTTTGGTGGCGGCTTGCCAAAGGATTCCTCGCAGGTGGTTGCAGAAGGATCCCTTTCGTTGCGGCTTACAAAAAGGGTCAGTTTTTGTAGCGGATTGCAAAAGGTTTCTTTTGCGGCAGATTGCAACATCATTTTTTGCGTTGCCGCGGAATGCAAAGCAGGGGCCCGTCCGCGCAGCAGAACGGAGGAGAAGGAAATAAGGAACAACAATACAAGCATGAAACATAGCCAACACTCTTTTAAACAAAAACTCAAGCTCATGCCTTGAGGTTTTTTGGTGTTGTTCCTGCGTCGCCTTCTGAAAACATAAGGTGTGCAGTGTTGTTATTCCTGTTTGCCTGCTCTTCCTTTCGACGGCCGCTTCTTGTCGTGGTGGCTCCCTGGAAGGATTCTTTGTGTGCTGGGCTACGCAAGGGTTTCGTTTGCCGCGGATTATAAAACGATTATTGTTGCGCTGGCTTATAGAAGGATTTCGCTTGTGGCGGAATACAAAAGGATCCTTTTCTGCGCCGACTTACAGAAGGATCCGGCTTGTAGAGCATTGCAACGCATGACTTGTCGTTGGCCACATCGATTTCTCCGCCGTGGAATGCAAATCAAGGTCCCTTTCCGCGCAGCAGGGCGGATATAGAGGAAAATCAATAGTGACATGGAACAAGCATGACACGCGTCAGCTTGCAAATGGAAAATAAGAAAACTTGAAAAAAGATCGAACGTCACAAGACTGAATTCGGGCATGCCCCTCCACAGGAGGAACATTCAAACATATTGTTTTAAAGAAAAAATAGCCTGGGAACAATTTTAAGCTTGACCATGTTTGAATGTTTGTTGGCTATGTTTGATTTGCCGGCCAAAATCCGCTCGTAGGAGGACATGCCCGACCCAACACAAACTGTTCATTCGTGTTCTTGTTTTTGCTGTTTTCGGGCTCCTCCCTTCAAGAGCCATTATTTGTGGTGTTGGTTCCCTTCTTTGGCGGGTTACAACAGGAACGTTTGTGTGGCGGCTTGCATGTGCATTTCCTCCGCAGGGCATTGCAAAAGGATTCCTGATGTGCCGGATCACAGAAGGATCCCATTTGCAGCGCAGATAGCACAATGTTTTTTTGTTCGTGGAGGTTTGCAAAAGGATTCCTTGTGTAGGGGATTGTATAGGATTCTTTGTGTGGCAGCTTACAGAAGGTGTCCTTGTGTGACGGATTGCGAAATGATTATTTTTGTGGCTGGTGGCACAACAATTCTTCTGCGGCGGGCTACCGTCGAATTCTCCTTGCGGCGGAATGCGAATCAGGGCCCCTCCGCGCAGCAGAACGGAGAGGAGGAGGAAAACAGGAAAGTCCGAAAACAATCAGGAAACACGTGAAAACAGATCGGAAAAGAGGACAGTCACATGTTTAGGGTTTTTGCTTTGCTTTGCTCAGCCACGCGCAGAGGGGGGGGAGGGGGGAGGGTTTTTTTGAAGCATCCCTGCTTCTTAGAAGGTGCGGGCCTTATCTATAGATGTAAGGTCGGCGCCTTCTAAGAAGCAACTTCCTTCTAAGAAGCCCTCTCCCCTCCCTCCACCCCCTTTCGCGCGCCGCCAATGATTGACATGCGACTGCGATTGGGTCTTACCTGAACTCCAGCTACAAAAAGGGAGACTCTCTGATCCAGATGATGTTGTTCTGTGTTCGTTGTCTGCGACAGGGGGGGCCCACAGCGTTCCTTTCTCGAGCTCGCCACCCGTAACAAACTTTACGGGGTTGTACACAACAATATCATCTAGTCGGGCGTGTCCCTCTACAGGAGGAGTATTCAAAAATAGTCAAAAAATAGTCGGGACGATTTTTTGAGAATTTTTGAGTTATTCTTGGTCTATTTTTTGACTATTCATAACTTTTCGCCACAAATCCGCCTGTAGGGGGACATGCCCGACCTAACAATACCATCGCATCCAGGAGGGGGCGTATCGCCGCCGCCCCCTGCCTTCTGCAGACGCCGGTGCTGCGACGTACGGCCATGCCAGCGCGGACTCCAAGTTGCGCCGGCGCCTGGGGAAACCATCGGGAGACACCACTGGGGGAACAAGGGGAAGGGCCTCCGGGGGTCGTCTTCGGGTCCTCTTCGGGCCATTCGGGCGCTCCTGGGGACCTCTTTAACCTCTCTTGGGCCACTTTGGAACTCAATTGGTGCGTCTCGGCTGTGTCAGCGAGCCTCGGGAGGGGGGTGGGGGTGCACGCGCTCGGGAGGTGGGGGGTACACGCGCCCGGGCGCTACCGGGAGGGGGGGGAACTCCTCAGAAGATGACAGATGGCATACAGCGTTTGGCATTCTACCAAGGCGACACAGGGGCACGGTTGCGGTTTAAGGACTCCAAGAGGCTTGACGACGCTCCATTCGGTGCCTGCGGCGTGGTGGCGGACTCTTCGTACTCATTATCACGTTTTCCTCCTTTCCGTCTTTGGAGCGCGTGCGGACACATTGGGACCGGGCTGTCGTGAGCAGGTGCGTACCTTACGTTTGCCTTTCTTTGCTGCTCCTTGTCCTCCTCCCGACTCATGAGCCCTCCCACCCGCCACCCTCCCCGCCCCGCCTCGGATTCCCCCTCTCGCCCAGGAGGTGGATGGGCCCCCCCTCCCAGGCACCGCCCGCGCAGCGGGAGAGGAGCCCTCCTGCCTCTCGGAGGGCGCGTCCACGAGCGCGTTGCTGCGGTGCATCGCCTGGCGCCAGGACGCAGGCCACTCCGGGTTCGAGGCGCACACGCCGACTGAGGAGGCCGAGGACACCGCCATGCGGTATTCAGGGGAGGGCGAGTTGAGACAATGGCAGTTGGCTTTCGTTTGGCAGCAACCCATTGGAGCTTCGTATGTCCTCGAGATTTTGTCTTTGGATCTTTAGGGCGCATCGATCTAGCGTCGAATTAGCGGCAGTCAGCGTCGGATGGTCTCTATTCGCAAGTGCCAGCAAGATTCAGGAGGGAAAAAACATACACTAATATTCGCCAGGAAAGTGTGGAGAATATGGCCATTTGATGGGAAGACGAACATCCAGAAAATATTGAAGTATAGAGAATCCTGGGGTGGGGGTCTATTTGTTTGTGTGTCCCTGGGCCCCTTCAAAGATGGCATGGGAGGCTCCCATGAGTTGCCACCGAGCCTTCGGGGGGTATCCTCGCCGCCACGGCTGGGCGGAGCTCGGAAAACTGGTCGCTTGGGCCCCGGGGGCAGCGCGCCCGACTTGCGCCCCGTCGGCGCGCGCCCTTGATCGCGCTGTGGCAGCTTCAAAGATCAAGTGACAGCTGGGGGGTTCGAGCCCACGCCCTTACGGACTGGCGCCTGAAGCCAGCGCCGTAGACCACTCGGCCAAACTTTCAGTGAGAGCCACTCTGTGTCTGCGCTGGGCCGCGGTGATTGCGCCAGGCCCACGCTTGCGCAGGCGGACGCTGCTCCCTGGGCGAAGAGCGGCATTCTGAGCCTCGGAGGCCTGGAGATTGGCACCAACACCACTATCGACGGCCTGCCTCCACCGAGAGAAGATATCCCAAGAGGCTTGCGCCATTCCGCCGACCCTCAGAAGAGTCCACGGCTGAGGCGTCGTGGGCTTCTTGGGCACCATTTGGGGACTCCTCTTGGCGTTTTGGGAATTGCTTGGGTTTGTTTGATCCTTTTGGAGGCATTTTGAAGCGTCCTTGGGGCCGTCTTGGGGCCTTTTGGGGGCCTCTTGGGGTTCCCTTGGGGCTTACCTCACACGCCTTCTCACCCCCAGCAAGCGAAAGTCGGCGGATTCCGATCTCCGTCATGGTGGAAATACTGGGGCTTCCCAGGTGGCCGAAGGATTACCATCAGCACCAAAGTCTACAGTGGGGACACATGCCAAGAAACACCCTGCTTGCCTCCAAGGTGCCCTGGGTTTTTGGGGTTTCGATGGTTTGTCGATGGAGAGCGCGACGTTCCCACACCAAAAATCAATGGACGCCCTGGGGTCTCAGGGTTGGGTTTCTTGTGGAGGGTGTCTTGCGGAAGGACTCTTACTATAGGAGCACCTCCCCCCTGTGCAGGCAGCCCCCTGTGTTGGTGCTGGTGCCCGTTTCCAAGCCTCCAGCAGCTCTGCATCCCCAGTCGCCTCTCGACGCTGCGGGAGGCCCGTGAGGGGGGGGCCACGGGGGCCCGCGGCTGTGTACGATGGTGCAGGCCTGGCCGGTGGCAACACCTGCATAGCTCTGCCTCTCACCTCACTGTGCGCTTCCCTTAAGGCGCACGCGTCTCTGGGGGGCATCCCGACTCAGAGTGCGGACGCTCTGTCCCCCAGGGGGTGGGCATAATTATGCGGATCGGCTTTGTTACGATCATCCTTCTCTCTGTGGTGGGCCCAAAATTATCTGCCCACGTGCCCCCAGGGGCCCTTTCTTCTTGCCGATGTTGCGTTGGCAAAATTTGTGGGGAGGAGGGGCCCCGGGGGCATGATTTGCAAGGATCAGGCGATCGCAAACATGGATCAAGGGAGCGTGGATTAGCGACGGGTCGTGCTTCCATGGGGAACCGCGGATTTCCGCCGCCGAACCAGGCGACACCGGTCGCATTTGGGAGAGGGCACCTCCCCCGATCCATGGATTTGGCGACCGCGCGCCAAATCCATTGATCGTTGATCCATGTTTGCGCGCCCCCGAAAGGATGCAGGGGCCTTGGGCGCCCATGCCGAAGCTCTTCGACAGGGGCTGGGCATCGACAGCTGCTGAGGATGGGCCGAAGATGACCGAAGAGGCAAGAACGCGGCGCAGGAAGGATCGAGGACTTGGCTGCGTTCCAGCGCAGCCGCGGTCTGGAGGATGCGCCGCGCGCGTCGCAGCCGGTGTCGGAGGGGACCCGAGGGGGAGGCGTGGATATGCAGGGGGATGAGCTGGATCCGTTTGCGGGGTCCGCCTGGCACGTTAGGAAGTCGATCGTCTTTGCTGTCATGATATTGATTGTACGCGCGTCCTACTTCTAAAGGTTCCGGGAGCTGCCGCCGTCTCGGCTCGCCCCGCCCCGAGGTACATGTCGAATTTGGGGAAGGACAAGGGCGGCCCCCAGGCTGGGCCAATAAGCAAGGCCATCGGCGGCGCCAACCGTGCACCTCCTCCTGTTCCTCCTCCTCCTCCTGCTCATCCTCCTCTTCCTCCTCCTCATCCTCTTACTATTACTACTACCAGTACTACTGAAACTAGTAGTAGTAGTAGTAGT